AGAGTCAAGAAGACCGCAGGTGAGAGAACGCGCAGGTGGCTGATGGGGCGAAAACGTGCATCTAAGCGCTCCCGACCCCTGGCCCACAACGTACAATGGCCAGGGTTTTACACCACAGCAGCAAGGAGGGCGGTTGTGATCCAAATGGGCGCGGCGTGAACCTGCACCTGGAAGTGCCGACAAACCACATTTTTTGGCATTTTTACGGGCGCAGATTCCCAATACTGTCTACCGGACACCGATCTAACTCCCGTGTTAGTCCAGCACATCCACCACGTGACCCGTCTCAAGGGTGAAACTAATTCCTCAAGACATATATGAACAGCGCAGCCTGAAATATGACCCGATCGTTTCACCTCGACAGCCGACTAAAACTGAGGCTAAGGCAGGACAAATGGTTGCCCAGTTGAGTTAAAGAAATCCAAGGATAAGTAGAACACAGCGGAGTGAAGAAGTTTGCGGTGAGGTACCTGACTAAATTACCTTTGACAATTTAGTCCCACTTTCTTTGATCGGACTGCTTGTTTGAATGTGACGAGAAACGGCACACCTGTACAACCCGCCTTGTTAGCGTGTTCTGCCGTCGTGCTATGTTGTCAAGATTTCCTTAACGTTCACAATCTCTATAGTATTCACTGCTCAGTTTTATTTGCTGCTTCTAAGGCTAGGGGCTCGTGGGATATCACTCGTTAGTTCGTGAAAACATTACTATTTACCACATGTTCTCACGTCCATGAAGACAGCTTGCCGATCACAACCCAACGAAATTGCAACATTTCTCCGATGGAACAGCTTAATTTTACCGTCTTTAAATAACTAATTCTGGAGCATTAGGTCAAGTACTTCGGGCGTGTCCTCAGCCACCTCCCTACAATCTCCGAGGAAACCAAAAATGAACTCACTGTAGTTGAGACCAACGATGCAATTGACCTCTCAGCCTTCCTTCGGAAGACAGTCAGGTATGTGCAGCTGATATCCGATGGAAAAATACCAGACGTGGAGTAAAGCCCATCTGAAATCTGTAAATACGATGGCCCTCAACTCAAAGACCGGCTTTACCTGGGAGATATGGGTACAAAGACAAATTCCGAGAGAGTGCGCAACCACTGCTGACTTGTAAAAATGCAAAGGAACCGGCCAAATCATCCGTATAAATGGCTAAACATTTGCTGCTGATCCGCAGAATCATCTGAATTTACATTTAGAGCAATAGCTTCTTCCCGAGAGCTGAGAGACTGCAGGATCACCAATACTAACTTTTCAGCCCGTCAGCTGTAGCAGAAGTATCAGGAGGTGGGAAGTGGTCTCTGGGTCACCCTTGTGAACCTAACCGAGGGCTTCGACTCTACGAACAGAAATTAGGGTAGGGATCGAGTGAAGGTTCTCAAACATCTGTGGCATACAAAGACTACCTCCTATACTTATTTAAGCGAGTCCTAGTTCGAGGCGATTGTTCCGGTTTGGTCTTTCATCGTACAAGATTGGTTCGTCTGTTGTAGACGGTCTGGTGAATTATCTACAGTGACCTCTGCTCACAGAGTTGAGAAGAAATCATAGTAGACACTTAATGTTTATTTTTTTAATTGTCCGGCTTAATTTCGGTTGGTATATGTCAATGTATTAAACATTTCAGCCCGAAAATTGAATTTACCGATTATCTATACTAATTTCGACATTCCTCCATGCATAGATAGGTCCCGCCCTTAAAACCCCTATTACCACCTTTTCCGTAAGACAGGCACCTTTGGCTGTGTGTGTGGGGGCCTTCACTCGATCGTTGCCAAAATTAGTTTCGGAAAGTAATGAGAATTACTGGGTCATGCTGATTATCGTAACCGTGTGAAATGCGATGGGTCAACGTTACGGCGCCTGATTAAGCCGGGGGGGGGGGGGATAGGGCAGGCGAGCAGCACTTCCTACCGTCCATCGATAACCTGGTGTTCATTGACTGACCCAAGCCGACCTTGGTCGATCTCTGGCCTCGTAGTCACGGCTTTCACTCCCGCACAGGCAAGATGTCTAGGAAGGATTTAACTGGCAAGGCCGGCGTACGGGCTGAACTAAGAGACCAGCAGTCAAGTCGAAATCAGCCCTCGTCGGCTAGTGAAGAACCTAGGCATACCAGGGTCTACAAGTGCTCCTATGATACGAGAGGAAGACAGTCCGCGCGAGGAATGATCGAAGAACGCCAAGCAACATTCCGAAAACCAATATGAGAAGGAAAGAAATCCGTAAGTTGGAAAAGCCCTTTTTAAATGATCGTCATTTTGACTTTGAGAAATAAAAATCAGGTGTTAAATCGGTGCGAGGCGTTTTAAGCCGTTGAGGATCTAGTAAGGGGACTCACTGCAATAAACCTTCCTCTCACTGTCTGTCGAGTCACGGCGATTTTTCGGCCAGCTGTTCCCTTTTTACGGAAACAAAGCCAAGGGGAACTGGGATGGCCATTTCTGGCTTATTAGCCGTCCTCAACCAGCCATACCCAACCCCGGGTTTGCAACCCCTGAGGTTCAAATGGTTGGATATGGCGGACTGATGAAGCCCGATAAGCCAGAAATAGCCATTACAGTCTCGGCTGCCCTCGTCCGTTACGTCATTCTCCCTGTACTGCCAGCCGCCGTGTGGCTGCTGGTGGGGCTTTAGATCGAACCCCAAGGCACGGCGGAACGAACAGATCCCGTAGCACGATCGGTGGGTGCCCTCAACCGGAGAAAACAATTAGCAATTTCCTGGGCATTTTTTGCATCTCGAGTCCCCTTTGGTTAAAATTCTATATCATAGAATGTATCCACATTTACGGCTTTCAGTAAATACATTTCACATGCGACTCTTTATAAACTCACCCCACATCTGACAGACTGTCATTTTTCTATAGGTCCGACAGGCCTGAATTGGTCATGGGGATTCTATTAAAACTTTCGGTTGAAGTTGTTGGGAGTGCCTATACTCCCCACGAGTCTGATCGATCCCTGTATTAGAATTATCGATCGGCTCGTCTAGAATTTTCTTATCGAAGTGCATTGGGCCGAATGCAAGCGAACCCCAGTAGGATGACATAAGTACGGGTAACTTTTCCAGTTAGACTTGACTTACAATTTCCTAATACATTTACATCTGACATCATTTTTCTTTAGGTTTGACAGGCCTGAATTGCCGGAATAAAAAATGAAGCTATAATCTTGGTCTTTGTTAGTTGTTCGGCCTACTTCATTAGTCGAATTTTTTGACGGACTGCGGTAACCTGGAGAGCACAGGGTCCAGACGCAGTATTGCAATCCCAGAGGAACGCTCACTCAGACTAAAATAGGCTCAATCCCTGAGTCTAGATGAAGGGGTCACCTTACGGTAAACTTGACTGAAAGGGGTCGGGACTTCCCCTGCGCCCCACAACAAGGACTTTCCGACGCATGAGCCCCGGATTTTTCATTGCTTAACCTATCAAGCCATTTAGACAGGAGCAACACGGCAAAGGAAACAGGACTTAAATGTTAGCGGTCGAACAGGAGTCTGAGAAAATTGACAAGATCCGTGAATCTCGCTTCTCCCATCACTCGGCCTGGTTTAAATTTATTTAGGGAGACTGAAACAAACATCTCTGGCCCAGATGTTATCGCCTCTAAAAGAAAGGAGAAAAGGCCACGAGAGTTGCTGCGTGCGCAGTACTAAGTCAACTCCTAAGAAACAACTGTCCCACTGAAGATGTGCAGTTCTCACAGATCTTATCCACCACAAAAGTGAGTAATCGGCGACGTTCATTCCCATGCCCATTTTCGATCACCGCACGATCCACCACGCAGTTCCGGCTGTTATGTCAGTCTGGGCGGATCTTGAGGCTGCATCGCAGGCGCAGGGATGGTGTGAGGGTGGGCGGGGCCGATCGACCGGCCGCAGGCGTCGTCGTCGTCGCCAAAATCTCCGAGCGAACCTCCACGAGTGAATGCCGAGGGTAGCCTACGGAGATCAGACAGCTAAGATATCAGACAGGCGGCTAACCGATGGAGACTGTTCTAGCCACCCCTCATCTGCAGCTGCAGGACGACGACTTAACCCTCACGCATACCAGGCGCTGCCTCTTTTATATCCTGAGGCGTGACTATTGTGGAGAGCTGTGTACTTTCTAAATGTCAGCCCATCTTTTCTTCATCATCTTGAGGTGTAGGAACGCGAGCCTACGCCAAGAATACCCGAATGGTATCCGTTTCTGCCACCGATGAGGTCTTTTGAGAGCTTTATTGTTTCATGCCAGTTTTGCATGTTCTCTCTCTCTCTATCGCTCAAGAATTTACCTGTTGGAGAAATGTTGACGTAGAACAAGCTGATGAACGTGGCATTTGGGGCAAGTCTACAGTACACACCCGACGGGCACGAAGCGTCACCCGACTTTCTTAAATGTGTGCTCAAATACAGGAGTTTGCGCAAGTGGGTTGCAGTAATGACAGTCACGTAAATAAATTCCGTTTAAATTCATACACTGTAACGTGCAGGCTTTTGTTTGCGCTCCAATCAGATCTACACACGACAAAAAGCAAAATAGGTTTGGGCGTTTTTCATCATTTTCTTAAATGTGCTTAAATGCATCTCACCAGGCAGCATGAATAAACACTGCACTTCTTTTACACCTTCTGGAGATCATAATGATTCCGATTGAAGGAACCGAGTTATTTAGATTTGAAACGACAAATAGCATTGAAGTAGTTAGAAGTAGGTGAGAAGAGGGAGAGGCCATCGTTTGAACAGGAATAAAATTTTTCTGACTGCTAGGATTTTCGCTCAAATTCATAAGCAGAGACATCGACAGCTAACGGAAATGGACGCTCAGGGGGTTGCAGTAGTTATGGAATTAGGTATTTTGGTTGTCTTATTGTCCTGAGGAAGCATACCAGTTTTGTACACTTTCCCCCCTCTCTCACTCTCTCTCCCTCCCTCTCTCAAGAATTCACTTGTTGGAGAACTGTTGACGAAGAGCAAGTTTCTAAGCACGCCACTTCAGATAAACCTACCGAAAGTATCGACAGGCATGAAACGTCAATTGGCTGTGATGTATAAATCAGCGGTTAGCAATTTGAGACGCCGAGACAGCCACTTTACCTGCTCGTTGGATCTGAACTTCTGACAGAGGATACGGGCACGTCCTCAAGTTCAAAAACGTTGAAATTCTTGGGAGAAGCGACAACTCCATGAGCCACTCAGGTTACGACTGGCGGGCTTTCAATCCATGAACAAGCACAAAAAACCTCCCTAGCTATATTCGGTGTTCACACTTTTCTTGGGCACAGTAAGCAGCCGCTGGGGGATCGCGTTGTTGCACATTGCTTTCACCGACTGCATCAGTGGGCCAGAGTGCCAAGTCATTGTCGTGCCAATAAGCAACATTGACGATGTAACTACGGCAATTATCGTCTCGGAAGCCGCATCAAGTACAAATATCGGCAGTCGATGTGAGACCTGCTACTTCAGATGGACATGTGGTATCATGGCAACTGCATCCTCTAACTACCGCAACCCCTGAGCGTCAATTTCCGTTAGCTGTCTATGTCTTTACCTGTGGATATGAGTGTGAATTCGAGTTATCAGAATAATTATACTCCTGTTCAAACGATGGCCTCTCCTTCTTCTCAGCTGCTTCCTGGCACTCGCTTTTCGCTGTTTTTTTTGTTTCAAATTTAAATAACTCCGCTCCTTATGTTATGACCCGGCCTGGTACTTAGCATTCACGTGAGGCGTATGCGCACTCAACTCTTGTCCCCAATACCAACGCGATGGCGAAGGAGAAAGCGACCGGCCACGAAAAAGTGTAGTAGGAAATTGCAAGTCAAGTCGATCTGGGAAAGTAACGCGTATTTATAGCATCCTACTGGGTTTCGCTTGCATTCGGCCCAATGCACTTCGAGAAGAAAATCCTAGACGAGCAGATCGATAATTCCAATAGACGGATCGATCGGGCTCAAGGGGAGTGTAGGCATTCCTAACAACTTCAGTCAGAAGTTTTAAAAGAATCACTTTTACCTCCAGAAGGTGTAAAATAAATGCTGGACTTATCCATCCTGCCTGGTGAGATGCATTTAAGTAAATTCCCGAAACTGAAGGAAAAATGCCCCAGACTGCTTTTGCTTTTTCTCATGCATAAATCGGATTGGCGCGCAAACAAAGGCCTGCCCGTTATTGTATATGCATTTACATGGCAGTCATTATTGCAACTCACTTGTACAAGCTGCTGCATTTGAACGCTCACTTCATCCCTGTCGGGCGTCTACTCTAGGTTTGCCTGAAGTAGCATTTGTAGCAATTTGCTCGATGTCAACATTCCCCCAAAAAGTGAATTCTTGAGAGAGAGAGAGAGAGAGAAAGAAAGTGTGTAAAACTGGCATACTTATTTGAAGCAATACAACGCCAAAAGGGCCTGATCCAATGACTACTGTGTCCCCTATGCGTCTGTTTCCGATAAATGTCTATGTTTCTTCTGAAATACACTTTCCCCTGAGTAAAAAGTGTGAAGAAAATTTTATCTTCTAGTGCAGTACCTGTAGAAGGAGTAGGGATTTTATGCATCCTACCTGACCGGACAAAAAACTGTGCACTACTTAAGTGCTGATCATGTGAGTGTGAAAAGTTGCAGAACGAAAAATCTCGATTCGTCCGTGTACTAATTAACTTGGGATTGTCTTCCTGGATAATCGGTAGCATGGTTGCAGTTTGTTGTGATTTTTTAGGTGAAAAAATGGTTAGATCGCATTTGGTATCCAGGAATGGGGAGGCAGACGGCGGGGTCCCTGTCTTACGGGAATGGTGGGAAAGGGGGTTATATGGGTGGGGTAAGTGGAAGTGCTGCTGGACGAATGCTGGAGTTTCGGAGAAAAATAAAGTAAGCGAAAAGTGTTGAGAAGTTTTAGCAAGGTAGAGTAATGACATAAATTAAACAAAAGCCCGCGGGAGACAGCACAGCCTGCGGAATATGATAGAGGTAAATAGTGATAGGATAACCCTAACCTTAACTTTAAACTTAACCTCAACCATAACCCTAGCCTTAACCTTAAGCCTAACCCTAACCTTAACCTAAACCCTAACCTTAACCTTAATCCTAACCCTAACCTTGATCCCAACCTTAACCCTAACCATGACCCTAAACTTAGCCTTAACTCTAACCTTAACCGTTAACCGGTAACCCTAACCCTAAAGCCGAACCATAATCGTAAACCTAACCCCAACCCTGACACTGAGGCCGGACCCTAATCCTAATCCTAAAAAGTAACCTACGCCTAGCCGTAACCCTCACTAAACCCAACAGCCTGACCGAAACGGCCGACCTACCTCACGCAGTAGAAGCACACCTACTGATAACCAGTTCCCTAGACAAGGCAAACATACACACTAATAGCAAGTAAGTACGTCGACAGTATCAACGTACAGTGCCTGGCTACCAACTGCGATCTGGCCGAAAAAATTAAAAGATGACCTCCAGTATTCCTTCCTAAGCACTTCGGTGCGCAGCGTATGTTTGCAATTATACCTCTACAGGACCTTTCAGTTAACGTAGAACTTATCAGGGCACTATTATTGCTTACCACAATGCCAGGAATGGAGGAGGAGGAGGAGGGGTAAAGAGGGGATAGGGAGGGTAGCGGAAAGTGGAGGCGACAAGGTGGACAGGGCGTGATACTAATTCACAGGTCAAGAGACCAGGAGGACAGGCGAAATCTAATTTACTCAGAGCCTCCGGGGAGGACAGGGGGATGAAATTAATTTGACATTGTTGACGAGGAGCGGGGAGGGGGGTGCAACATCCCACGGAATCGACAGGGTTGTTCGATTCGACTGTGGTTACTTTTTGGCGGGATTCAGTATGAGGAAGGTGTAATTACGTATCACTGACGATGGACGGTGCCCTCCTCCCTCGTAATCACTGACACCCCTTCTCTTAATGGTCTCGACAACACGCTCTCTCTCTCCCTCTCTCTCTGGCTTCTCTCTTTTCAGCACCTCCACGGCCCTCTTCCCCACCGTTTCCGGGTGCACTTCACTTTCCACAGGCTGCTTAGCTGCCCTGTCGTTGTCGCCGCACCCATCCAGTCGGATTATTACTTGCTGTAACAGATTCTATTTTCTTGCATCTTTTACAGTTGTACTATATCAAAAACTTCTCCTCTCGTTCGTATAACTTCTACAAGCATCTGACTCTTTTTATTCTCTGTCTGTCTACACCTTTGCGATGACCTACCAAACAATCTTGTTGAGTTATTTGCCCCGTTGGGATCTATCCAAGGTGCGACACATTATGCTGTGTGTGCCTTCCTCGGTAGTTAAAGGGCACTGAAACGCATCTTTTATGGTAGATTATGTCAACTCGGTACGTCGTGAGGTGATCGGGATTGGTTGCGGTTTTGGTGGTCGCAGAGTTCGGATAATCACCTTCTGCGTGCCGAGGGCATGGTTGGCTTGCCGCATTACAAGCCCTCCCACCTTGTGAGTATGCGCTTGCATGGTAAATTTGATCAAAAGACTCCATGGCATCTGCCTGATGGTCAGCGGGTCGCGACAGACGCCTTGTCTCAGTCAAGGAGAACAATGCATTCGTGTATTTTTACAAGAGGTGTCCTGTCGCTCGATCTACTTATCCGAACAAGTAAATGAGTCGACTCATATGAAATGGGTCCATAAAAACAGCCTGCCCCCCCTTTCTGATGAGGAAGTAGACCACTTGTGAAGATCATCCATATTCTGGCCAGAAGATATGCACGCGTACAGCCGAATTATAATGATGAAACCACAGGTTACTTTAAGCCGTGGCATCAGTGAGGCGCCTACTTCACTTTACCGGTTCCGGTGATCGTTTGCGGTAGACTGTAGAAATGCTCATGAGTGACTTTAGTGAAGTTATCATTTTTCTCAATCGAACATCCTTCTCAGGTTGAGATTCTTTTGCTGTTACTACAGACTGTCTTCATCGACCCCAGCTGTTTAAATAAAAAAAGTAATTTTCAAGTCTGGCTTGAGGGGCCTTACTGTAGATGCTTTCATTTAATTGCCAAGTTGCTCTCCCCCCAAAGGTATCTATGACCGCCGCTGTCTGGTCTTTGAATTCACAAAACATCTGGAAATAGAGCAAAGTTATTCCTTTATGCGGGGAGAGTAACCTGGACAGCTGGGTGCATCATGCGTACTTTTACCGAGGGATGATCCGAGCAGAGATGCTTATTAGTAATTACGGCCACGACGGTTGAACCGTCGCCAATTACGGAAATATCGCTAATCTGTCTTCTGCGCAACTTCACGTCTTTGCAAATTGAGTTAAGTAAATTCGCATGGAATAATTTTAGAGATTCTCGAACTGGAGAGCGATTTGGCTTCGTTAGTTTTCTACACTGGTGTGGAAGTGATTTTTGGGAAGTTACTTCCGCTTCATTGATTGTAATTGAGTTAAAGCTAGCGTGGGACCTTGAACACCCTGTCAATTATAAAGACTACAGAAGTCGAACATATTTTCTCCTTCGAAAACGACCAAACACCGACGAATGCATGAATGCAGATCCTTATTTTCACTAAGAGAAAATACAAGAAAGTCTTTAAAAGCCTGAGAAAAAAGAATGAATTTCTTATGGCGAAATTTGGAAACCGGCTGAAGTGTGTGTTTGGGATAAACTGGCGCCCAAAACCTGTTTAAGACATAAAGAGTGAAGATAGTCGAAGCAAGGCTTTAGACGCGGCGATTAGAGACTGTTTACTAAGAATTCTCCTGCCACTAAATAGGAAAGATTTTTCATTGGCAGACTTGGCTGCACTCGGTAGATGAAGGCATTCATCCATGGCCCGTGAAAAAAACCATATTTTTGCATCTTCCAGAGCATAGAAATTTCCTTGTGTGTATTCGCTTTCGGGGACAGTGCATCCCCAGGCTACTCTGTAAATAGAACACTGAAGACTGCTCGGAGTGCGCTTGGGGCTTGTTCGTATACGTTGACGTCTTTCAAGTGCTCAGAAGAAATAGAGGCGAATGACATCAAATCGACAATTTCGTCCCCGTCTTTGTGAGTGGGTACTGATCCTCACAAACGTACAATAGGTGGGCTAACTCAAGAAATGCCAACCGAAATTCCGAAATGCGTTTTCGTTTCGAAAAGATTAATTAAGTGGGGTTGTAAAACCAATCATCGTGCAGAATACTTCTATCACAATTCAGCTACCTTGAGATGCCGGCTTTCAAACAAACTTTTTTTCAGCTGCATACAGGGAATACACGCAGTAAAAATAACTACTTAATTAGCCTGCATTTTCTCATTGATTTTCGATGCCCTTAAATAGTCAGTTATATTTCATGGAAAACATGCATTAAAATATCCATTCTTTTTCTCATTCCGTAGAAAATTACGTCTTCTTTCAATTTTATACTCGAAGGAAGGGTTTAGTTCGGTTTTGAGAAAGTTTATGATTGTGAGATTGTTTAATACCGTGTAATGACCGTTCATAAAACGTCATGTCTCTGCATTTACCAATGTGGCTTGCAAAGTTAACAGTAAGGCTCAAACTCTCTGCTAAATTTTATGAACCCCATATGATCTCCTCTGAATGCCGTAGAGAAATTTACGATTTTCCGTACGCGGAAAATACACAGCCTGTAGTTTTGAAAGCCTGAATGCAAGTGTAACGGCAGGTCCAGTTTGAAATTATTCGGAAATTGAAAAAGTTTTTTAAAATAGAATTAAACCATTCCTTTGAGTATAAAATTGAAAGAAGACGTAATTTTCTACGGAATGAGAAAAAGAATGGATATTTTAATGCATGTTTTCCATGAAATATAACTGACTATTTAAGGGCATCGAAAATCAATGAGAAAATGCAGGCTAATTAAGTAGTTATTTTTACTGAGTGTATTTCCTGTATGCAGCTGAAAAAAGTTTGTTTGAAAGCCGGCATCTCAAGGTAGCTGAATTGTGATAGAAGTATTCTGCACGATGATTGGTTTTACAACCCCACTTAATTAATCTTTTCGAAACGGAAACGCATTTCGGAATTTGGGTAGACATTTCTTGAGTTAGCCAACCAACTGTAATTTCTGATGTTAATAAATGCCGTAAACCATGACTCAAGTAGCTCCCGGCTCATGTGGTTGCCACCTCTAGCGAGAATTTTGGCCTCGTCGAAGTTGAATGTGTGGCCGGATCTCGTCGTGATTGCTCGACCATCTGACGCATTCAAGTTCGACGAGGCCAAAATCCTCGCTAGAGGTGACAACCGCGTGAGCTGGCAGCTGTTTGAGACATGATTTACTGGCCCCCAGTACACTGACAAGTGCAGTGATCTTACCCTTCCATACTCGGTGCTGAGACTTCGCCTAGGCGGAGTAATTGGCTGCGCGGAGAGCGCACAGGTGGACACTTTTCCCTACACCAGGGTCAGCGCGTCAGATGGTCGAGTAATCATAACACCAACATCCAACGCACGTGATGAAATTGCAGCAATTAACGACGCAAATGTCGGCCAACAAATAATCATCACACCACGTGCAACGATCTCTGATGAAGGGGGGAGCCGTGAATGTTCATAGGTATGCGGTAGCATGACGACTGCATCCATATAAATACTGCAGCCCCTTATGCATGAACCACTCGTATCTGCTATTGTGTCTCCGATGATGGGTTCGGGCAGGAATCCGAAACGTCAGGCTAATAAGGCTCTTGTCCCAGGGATCGTGTTGCCTTCTTCAAGACTGCTTCCTGGGACTCGTCTATTCGCTTCTGTTGGTATCCAGAGTATGTATAACTACTTGCAGAAGGAACACCGACAGATGCCAGAGGACCGGGCTGACCATTTCTGACTTACCGGCTATCGTCAGCTGGTCACAGGAAACCGTCCGGGTTTGCAGGACGTGTAGGTTCGAACCCGGGTTCTCTGTTCATTAAGTTTTTACACGTCCAGCGCCCTACCATTGAGCCACGAGACTGTTGTTCAATCCGCTGCGATCGGAGATATTCAATATCGTAGAATTGATGTTTGGCGATCGGCTTAGCGAGTTTGCTTTTCAGAGAGAAGCATTTTAGTCAACTGCAATCACACGATAGCCTGCATTGATTCCCCATTTCTCCAGGAGATAGACAAACCGACGCAAATTAGGGGATTCGCTGCTTTAATTCAATGCTGCAGCACTTGTCCGAGTCGTAACGTTTCACAGTCTCTTGTAATAAAAGTATTTACAGTCCTTAAGGGATACTTCAGTTAAGAAGTCTGTGAGAACGGAAAAAATCCCAAAGTCAGTTGGCGGTTCGATCCAGCCTGGAGCCGTACGAGTTCTTTATTTTTCATAGGCTAACCAGCAGCTGTTCTGGTAAAAACAAATACATTTAAAAACTGCAATTTTCAGATCAAGATGTGAATGCGCATCGACAATTCAACTAAGTCGCGTGTACATCACGCTACATTGCATAGGTTTCACTAAAAAAAAGAGCGAAGGCTGGCTCAGGCCCTTTCATCCGCAGCACAAAAAATGTGCAACTTCACAGGCGACGACTGCAGCGTCTTTTCTGAGCTTGCAAACCGCAACTAGGAACTGTAAAGCTAGGCTGGGGAGGAGTTCCAGCAGAGCTGACTGCAGTACCACCGAATCCGCGTTCGACTAGAACGATGTTAAGTGGATCTACTTGCTGCTCGTTACTTATACCAAGAAGCGCATAGGCGTCTGTGGGAAGAAGCGAATGAGTTGTCAGATTCTTTCGCAAATTAAATGGATGAAATTAGTCGGTAAAAGTTGTTTGAAAACTAAATCCGACGTATTAAGGATGCTGGGAAGTAGTGTTGTTTTTGTGCCCTTGTTAATCATCAACCACTTATATCTGCGCAATGTGAACTTTGAGCTACTGGAACAATGTCAAGCCGTAACTGCAGACCTAAATTGTCAACAGATAGAATGTTTGAGCCAAGATTTTGTGGTCAAACTTCCATTGCTAATTACTAGAGGAAGTGTCGTTCGGACGCAATCGGCCCAACAAATCCAGAACAGGATCCGAGATCCATTGTGGGAACTTTCGCCTCGCGCCAACCGATTATCATGTTTCCAGATCTCGCGAAGGGTTCCTATTCCCGTGTTTTGGTCTGGTTTCCATCATTTTCAACAAAAGTCTGGAATCGGGATGTTCCTAAATACGTCGACGGACAGAATCGCGCTTAGTGAGCGATAGAAATTGTGTTTTAGTGACTACATGCGTCCTTGTTTATTTTTTATAATATAGAAGCTTCTGGAAGTTCACCAGCGCATTAATATTAATCTTGGGTAAATGAACGCGAGCATATTCCTCCTGGTTTCGGGAAGTCGGTGTCTTTGCGGGGACCTTAGCTTCGGACGATGGTAACGATAAAGCATATGACCGGGGTAGGGTTACTATTGTGAACTGTCTAGTATATGTATCTATGTAGGCGTTGTTCGATAGAGCTTGTGATCGGAATCCAGTCACTGTCTTCAACAGCTCTAAGCCCGGTAGGACGTCCCAAAGGACGTGGCGCTGTAGAAATGCCTATATGGACACACTGTTCTGCACCTGGTACGCGTGGTTCTTTACTGAATGACCAAAGATTTGTATTGCGCATATTCCCACCGTCCACATTCCGGATACCCAACGGAGAAAACTGCGACACGACCTATGCCTTTACGTCCGAATTATTGGATAGAAAGGTCTCCAAGGTCTCCTACAGGCCCGCAATATTCAGCCTAAGGCAAAGGTAGTACTGTAATTCGTCCGCGTGGACTCATACCGTTCTGTCAGACACGGGGACTACTTCGAGTAGTTTCTCTTTATGACGGCTCCAGTACGCTTCAATGAGGCCATACTCGTATAACTCCAACGCTCCAAAGGTTACCTTTTTCTGACCCCGGTCATATACTTTATCCTTGCCCAACTTACCTTCGCACTGAACTCTTCTTCGGGGCCTGTCAAAGTCAAATGCGAGGCTAACAGCGCAGAACGTTGTAGACGCACCAAGAAGTTGACTCCCCAAGATCTCAGTTGATTCGTGTAATATCAGTGGTTACTCAATCTCCTGCTCATCTGAACCTCCAAGGTCAGAACAAACGTAAGCTCCAGTAGGTCAGGTGGAAATTGGCACAGTTACTATGCCTTAAATGAGAAGTGTTTAGACGTTGACCACTGGCATGAGGACTCGGCGGAGAAATAATAGGGCCGATTGTGGATTACAGTTGGCCTCAGAGTTTACCGAAGGTCAGGGGTACATAAAGTTACCATCCTTGCCCTGCTATGAATACTTACTCACAAACATATACGCACTTTCAACTAATGACTGCGCTAGATACTGTAAGTTTATCTCAATGATTAGTTTTATGCTACTAACTGCCAGTTACCGAGATGTGAGAATTGCGCAGTTTTTCCTGTCGGAACTGCCTGAATTCGGAAAAGAGCAGCATATCATTGCTGAACCTGAAAAATACGAGTTCTGAAAAATTTGGTCTAGCCTTGCATATTAATTTCACAAAAAATAAAAAGTAATCCTCAGTGGCGTACTATCCTGTATTATGAGGAGAGAGCTCAATCCCGTATTCTGCCTTCAGAAATGCAAGCAGTGAGATCTCGGCGTCAATTTACGGAAAGAAAAAATTAATACACGTTAAAAAATTTTTCGAAGATTCTCCGAGTGGCAGCTCTTACTGCATAATCCAAGTCAAAATTTGAGGATAGGTTACTGTCTTCCAGCTACATACAGTCATACAGTAGACATGAATGTGTACAGGGCTTAATACTTGGAGTAAATTCGCAAATGGGAAACTTTCACGGCAAGAGGAGATAAGCTCGCAGTGTTACAGGCGCACGGTTCGTAAAGGTAATCAAAAATGAACGGGAAGGGACTGTGAGAAGACGAAAATACCAGCTGAGGAAGTGTGGAAAAAGAAGAATACCGGTCAGATGTAGTTTGTAGCCCACCTAAAGTAAACAAACCCCAGCCACCTATAATACGGAATCGGCGGCTATAGGGGTTTTTACACGTGGGGCTAGGGAACCCAAAGGCGACGAGGTCAAGTAGTTGTATGTAAATGAAAAGCTATTGGAAATTCACGGTTGTAATTTGAGTGGTTGAAAATTAGCTGCCCTAACCCCTAACCCTGACCCTAACCCTCGTCTATAACCCCGCAATCTAACCCCAATCCCAACAGTGTTGTGTCCATCCGGTGGGGCTGAATAACCACATCTTACCAGAAGACATCCAAAGCATGACTTCGTTGTTTACACAAGTGCGGCTTAACCCTCCAAATGTAAATACAGTAGGTGGGTAAACTCATAAAATGTCAACCGAAATTCCGAAATGCGTTTTCGTTTCGACAAGATTAATTAAGTAGCGTTGTAAAACTAGTCAGCCTACAACATAATTCTAGAATATTTCAGTTACCTCAGGATGCCGGCTTTTGAATGAACTTCCTTCCGGTTTAATGCAAAAACTACGCTCTTTAAAAATGATTACGTAAGTAGCATGAATGTTTCTCGTTGATTTTCGATGCTCCTAAACGTCCAATTATATTTCATGCATAGAAATATTAATTCTTCTGCTCACTTGATAGATAACTACGTCTTATTTTAATTTTATACTCAAAGGAGGGACATAATTTCGTTTTAAAAAAGTTTTCCGATTCGCGAATGATTTTGAACCTGCTCTACCGTCACACTGGGATTCAGGGTTTAGAAACCACAAGCCGTATATTTTCCGCGTACGGAAAATCACACATTTCTCTACGGTATTGAAGTGGGACCATAAAAGTTTCATAAAATTAAAGAGTGAATCTGATCCATATTGTTAACTTTACAAGCCACATAGGTAAATGCAGAGATATGATTTATGAACGGCCACCTCACGGTATTTAAAAATCCTACAACTAGAAACTTTTTTAAAACCAAATTATGTCCCTCCTTCGAGGTTAAAATTAAAAGAAGACGTAAGTTTCTACCGAGTTAGCAAAAGAATGCATATTTTTGTCCATTTTTTCCATGAAATATAATTGGATGTTTAAGGGCATCGAGAATCAATGCGACAAATGCATGCTGCATAAGTAGTTATTTTTCACAGAGTGTTGTTTTTGCATGGAGCCGGAAGGAAGTACATTTGAAAGCCGGCATCCTGAGGTAACTGAAATATTATAGAATTATGTTGCAAGCTGACTAGTTTTACAACGCTACTTAATTAATCTTTTCGAAACGAAAACGCATTTCTGAATTTCGGTTGACATTTCCTGAGTTAGCCCACCTACTGTAGCTTCTAGTTGGCACAGGGTCAATGCTGTTTGAGTATGGTTGAAGAACTCGGGAAGCCTGCGTCGGGCAGGCACTTAATGATGGAGTAACCAGGCGGCGTTGTTTTCTGACTTAAAAGGCCATTTCAGCGTTTGTTAAAGGGCAAACTAACCTCCAACCACAAATAAATGCGAATCTACTGACACAGGGCGAGGTATTCTTAGAGCCCTTCGTCGGCTGAGTCCTCGTATGACAGGAATATAAAGTAGGTTCTTACAATAGTCCAACATGGCTTCCCGCTGTTCAGAACATACAGCAACAGATGGCATTTGAATATCCGTCACGAAATTCCTTGACGTCAATGACTGCAGTATTTGTTTGAATTCACACCCTCTATAAATTTCCGTCTCTTTGACTAAGACGAATGGTTAATTATCTTTATATTTACGCTGACATTTTTATTTGTCATCCAAAGCGTGATTTTAAATTTCCCTCTTTAAAAGATTGCCGTACACTGGGAAGGTGTAATGCTGCATTTCTAAGCAAGATGTGCACATTGTTACAGCGTTATGAGTTAAAATTTAAAATATCTCCAAATACTTTTACATCCTCCAGGTAAGTGACACAGCCGAAGATCAAGACGTGGATGAAGGAACACATTTGACAAGAAAAATCTGAAGAAGTTTTCGTACTGAGGCCAACACCATTACAATATTTTGGAATAGTAAGATGCTATTCTGTTTATGCAACGAGACTCGCAACCAGATACACATGGATGTCATTTTCATGTTCAGATGGAAATGAAAGCCTATAGCATTAGTGCATTCAGTTGACAATGACTGCAATTTATCCAATCATCCTACCAAACTGATTCACGTGACTTCTGAAGGGCATTTCCACAAGTAATCAGGGGAGATCAAACTCAAACTATGAGCGAAGTGACATCTTTGTATTTTTTCTAGAACAGTGGTGATATTGGCTTTAAGAAGCGATTTGATTGTTTGCAGTCATTCAAATTGAGACGGCATGTTCGGCATCTTGCTTGACGCATATCCGGCAAATGATCTCCGAACAGCAGACTTTATGCTTAGAGCTGCTTTACAACCGAAGAGCTATATTGGCCAGCAAATGCAACAGCTATCACCGGGGTGGACAGACGGACTACCGACAAGTCAATTCAAACATAACACCCATTTCAAGACCTCATTGCGACAAAAAATCTACGTTGTGGATGGCTTGTTTTTTAAAAAAAACATCTCCAAGCAAAGAGAAAATGGAGACAATTTTATTTACTGCAGGCTTTTCGACACGGGGCGTCAAGGAGGACGGTAGTGAGAGCGCTTAGCGACTTCAGCCATTTGTTCTGCCCACAGTCGACTCTCAACAGTGTTTGAGTCCTCACATGTCGGTTCCACCGACGCGCACGACGATGTTAGTCCTGTGCCTCACAGCAGGATTGGGCATGGAGGCGGTGACTTACGTGTGAAACAGCTTGTTGCGACAGTAGACTCGCACAGCATCTACCGCATTCCTTTTGACCCTTCCCTCCTGGACCCAGTGTCAATACAGAACCAAGGAGGCCGGGGGCGGAATCGGAAGCAGTGACTGACAGGGGGTAAACAGCCCTCCTGCACGTGCCATACACACCCCGTCAAGCAACAAGAAAGGGGAGGGGGTCAGCTTTCATCTGAGTCGAGACTCACATTTTGCCTGCTTGCACTGATCCCTCTACAGTTCGACCGTCGATTTCGACGATGTCCACCGTATGCCCTACAGACTGCATTGTGGGAGCAGGGACGGTGACTTACGCAGGGGTTTATAGTGCCAGTAGACTTGCGTAGCATCTACCTACACTCTCCCCCCCTCCCCCGCCTGAGCCCGGTGTCAAGACAGAGTCAAGAAGACCGGAGACGGGGGAGGCCGCAGGTGGATGGTTCGGACGGATCCTCGCCTTGGCGCTCCACTCCGCATTCCCTGGTCCTCACACAAATGACCAGGATTTTGACCACAAAACAATGGGGTGGCGGCACTGGTCCAGTTGAGCGACGAATGCCGACAACAGGGTCCGCCAGCGCACTGATCCCTACTCGTGTTATATCACACAGAAAGTCATCGTCACCCTATTTCTTTAATTAGTGAGCCTCTACAAACTCAGGCCGTCTGCATCCTCTTGGACGAGAAAACAAGGTGAATCTGCTTAATACGGTCATATCGTGGATTCCACAGTTATATTATTCAATTGAAGTCCATCAATGTCACCTCCAGATTATCATTTACCTCGTAATCTAAGTGTGGTTGGCTAATGCCCACAGTTTCTTCCGGGGGTTGCAGAAAAGGAACGCATACGGGTGACGCATCTAATGAAATCCTGACCGAAATTCGGAGATGTGTTTTCGACAAAAAAGAATTATTTGGATGGGTTTGCAAGATTGATTATCGTGCACCATAATTCCAAGACATTCCAGTCACATCTGAGATAACCATTCAACTAGTAGCGTGCCTGCTCATTTATCAGTGTTCCTCATGAAGTATGCAGTGCGGTCCACATACACTGTAAATGTTTGTGAGCAATTTATTATATTTTGATAATAAGAGCGTAATTTGGGATTTTCCTGACATGAAATATAAACAATTTATGATTTGAAAACTTGAAACGTATATGAATGTTAGGTCGCATTCAAAATTATCCGGAAATTGGAAACCCTTTTTATAATCGAAAGCTGCCCTTTATCTGAGTGTGGGATTTGAATATGACGTAAAGGTGCAAAGAAATGAGGCGAGAAAGGATATTTGTGTACGTTTTCATAACGCCTATCTAAATTTATAAGGGTATCAAAGATCAATGTAAAAATTCGTACCACTTATGTAATCATTTTTTACCAAGTGTGATTTTTAGAAGGCGGCCGGGAAGAAGCACATTTTAAAGTCGGAATCCGATCGCGACTTAAATATTATGGGATTATGTTGGACAGTGGTCACTATTACAGCTCTACCTAAATAATCCCCTCTAGTCGAAAATACATCTCAGAATTTGGGTAAAAATTGCGCGAGATCGGTCGCTCACGGCATTTGCTCTACAAACTGTGAATTCGCCCTTACGAATGTTTTTTTATCTAGGTTTTTTTCACTTGGTTGAATTATAAGACTTCAGGACACGGTTACGTGCGAACTATGGCTTGCTTTGTACATTCCACCAAAATATATCGTCTGCTCAGTGTGGGTCGGTTAAGACGGGAAGCTCAGCATGAAGCGCAAAGGAGCATCGCGATCAGTCGCGCCTTGCCTGAATGAGAGACCTTATGTAGGCGCAGTGTGAGCGCGCGCGGCTATTCTCCCTCAATGGGTCTTAAGTAGGAGAAGGAACATAAATTTCTCAGTCTCGTCCGCCGCCGGAGGCCATCGCTGGTGCGCATTAAACGACGTGGGATTTAAAGCTCACAGTCCACCAGCGAGCAGATAACCGACTCGGTGTATTTTACGCAGTTTCAAGGGCCATAGTCGGGGAAGATTAATTTTTAAGCCGCGGTCATTTTCCCTACTGCGTTTTTCTGCAAAAACCGGAAAAGAGGCATGTCCGGTAAAATGCATTTTTAACTAATTTATATTGCGTAATTTTCTACATATGTGAATGTTCCACTTTCCCGTTGTTTACGCTGCTCAAAATTGGGTTGAAAGGCACTGAGGGTCGTCAATAAGACGAACCCCGAAGAATCTGCAGTGCGTAGTTGTCTTTTCTAAATCAAGAAATTCAGTAACTGTGGACTCACCCAATAGCCTTCTAGCACTGCAGTTTGGTCAGGTGCTGTAGGTCTCATGAAAAGGCTGCTGCCATCATCCCTTCCCACAAATAAACGGTTTCAATCAAGCTGAAGACCAGTTTAGCCCAGAATCAGCTAAATTATCATTTATATATGTATTCTTTCTCTGTCTAAAGACCATTTGGGAGCCGAGTTTTCAAGCAGTCAACTTTCGTACGGGATATATTGAAATGCTCACCCATGGAGTCTGATTGGTGGGAAAAAATAATGTTTATTTAAAATAAAACGTAAAGTGCGTCTCAGTTAGTGAGTAATAGACTTACGAAAAAGCCCCTATTTTTACGTTTTCAACGGGAGAATACTCTGTTCCGTACCAGATGATCACAGAGTGTCCCCTGCCGGCAAACAGGGTGGCACCCCTCTACTGGTGATTGGCTATCACATGAGAACAGCCGGAAGATCTCTGATCCGGAACGTCAGACCACGACGGAGCACTCGTATTTTTTTTCCAAAAGTAGGCCAGATTGCCGAACACTGCCTCTACGTACTTTTGTGATACAGATCGAGTCGGACAGAATGTGAGTCCGTGGTTTAACGCATACAGCCTTGAAGTAGATGATTAATTGGGTAAAGTTGAAATATTTCATTTTCTCGGGCCGGGGTTGACGTCTGGCTGACCGATGACTGCAGATAAGCACAAAATTGCTATTCGGCCCCCTGACTTTGTCGGTGATATTTCTCAACAAATTTACAAGTTGAATATGAGAAATTTTGTGTTCTTCTTGGATCCTTTTATATCTTCACCTAGTTATAATGTCCAGGACGAAATTTAGTGCAAAATCGAAGAGGTCGTACTAGATAAAGACAAGTTTCACCTTGTTCGCCTGAAAACCTCTATATATATATACACACACGCACGCGACAGTTCGGCTGTCATTACTAACGATTTCTACTGTGTATTCCAGAGCAGGGTGGATGCACGGAGGTCGCACTCTCCGCTCATCCTCTTAGGCCCACTATCAAAAAAAGTCAAGATCGGACATATTGACTGACAACGCGTGCCATACAAGTCGGATTCGGACACAAATGACCAGGGTCCCATCAAGCGACAAATAAATGGCTCAGATCGCAAGCGAGTGTGACTACCCAACAGAGTACCTTAAGAAGGGTTCACTGCGATCTGACTCTCCATCTTGCGAAACAAGCCGGGTTATGCCGTTAGCTGACAGCTTTCCAAGCCAACACATATGTGTGCATATTGGAATTACGTTCACTATAGCGCTACGAGACATTTTCGTCTCGTTCTGCCCTGAGGCTCAATCAAGATCTCGCGAAGGCAGTCACATTGTGACCAAAAAGATATGATTATGGAAATATCGATCAAGATAAGGGAGACCATGATGACTATTTCTGTCATGTTAGCAGTCATCAGGAAGCCTTACTCAAAACGGGGTTTTGCCGCAACCGAGCCTCGAACACGCATTCTTTGGCCACCAAGCTCTAGTAGGTCCGGATTTCTAACAGTTGAGTCTCTGGCCCGTTTTCTTGGTGGTTTCGATCGCAAATATTAACCGATCGCATTACGGGACATGCTTCATGCAGAGTCCTCTCGGCAGTCGTACAGCGACTGCTGAAGAAGGAGAGTGCCCACAAAGACAAGTGCCTGGCATTGCCTTTTCTGGTTTATTAGCTGTCAGCAGCTAATAGTACTAAAAACCGAGGTTTGCGGGACCTGAACCTTGAACTCGCGTTCTGTGGACATCGGGCGTGATGTAGGTGGCGATTTGGGATAAGACGTGCATACTTCATGAAAAATCGCAAGGTATCTTGATATGTAATAATATAGGAGGGAGTACCGATAAAAATAATGGGCACTGGGATGGCTATGTCTTAGACTACTAATCGTCCTCAGTCAACCACACTTGTCATACGCCCTAAATCGGGGTGTGGTTCAGTAGTACCCCAGCATTTAGCGCTTTGTGTCATTGTTAGTCGGCTATTAATTCACATGAAAGTGGGGCGCAGACCAGCCCATTGGCCCATGAATGTGGTGGCCAAAGTTATGATTGAATGATTAAGGACAAAACGACCCTCGAAAAATTTCATATCCACACGGCCGTATTCTTTGGACAATACTTCAGTGAACACAGGCGATGCACACCAAGTTTATAAAGGGCATATTCGACAGTCCTTGCGTTAAATGTCCTTAGAAACTTAATATATTATCCGTAATTGTGATTAATCAACCGTTAGAAGGTGGACGAAGCTGTTTATAACATGGAACTGCAGTACAAGTCAAACTGCTTACTTCCCCATTATTCGAGGTACGGTTGAACAGGGTAAAAACTGCACAATTTCTTAATTCCGTCCCTGATTTCATTAAACTATCGCGGCCACTTTTCACATCCTGACTCACCTAGTTTATGCCGACGAAAAAATATTTTCACATCAGCAGAACCTGTCTCCAAAAACGCTTTATATTTAGGTTACTATCCTTTCTCAGAGAAACCCTCTAGGGAACAGGTGCGATGTGGGATAGGAGGTCGGCCTGATACAAATAAATGTTACTTCTCACGCAAAATATCCAATTTTCCTTAAAACCCCACTCTGAGCAAGAAATACAGCCTTAACAAAGCGTAGACCTAACAACTAAAATGCATAACGCCTATTGTATCCCCAGTCTCTCTTCAGCTGTCTGTCATCATGTTTCATCAGCTTAACGCCCCGCTGTACGTTATGAAAGAGCACTGATTTCATGCACAGCTAATGTCAGCTGAAAACGTGGTGATGAACGAGGCTGGAGGTTGTAAATTTGAGGCAGTTTGCCCCCTGTAGAGATTTAAGGCAAACATAAACAGCAGGTCGCATTGCTGCAAACATTTCGCCACTTTTATCAACTGTCAGCAGTTGTTTCATAGCATGCATGAGGAGTAATTAACACACAACGGGTTTTGTTTGTTTAAAAAATCAGTGCATGAGCAACAAGATCAGAATTGAGAATAAACTGTCTAATCGATAATAATAGTTACTGAAAAATACAATCGAATAGGAAAAAAGCAAAATAACGTACGAAGGGATGTGTGTAAATCAACGAACTGCGGATTATCAGGACAAGTGCAAAACTACCACATGGTCAAGTTGTTTGAACAGATCAGGTTCCTCCCTCCCTCCACATGTAGACTGATTTAAAATGGCACAGCGTCCATGACTGTCGCGCACAGACAGGCAGTCCGAAGGCTGCTTCTGGAGCAGCGCTTAATGACAGAGGACGGAGGTTGCGCTTTTCGACTTTAAAGGTCACCTTTGTAAATGCTCACCTGACCTGGTTGTCAGTTGCCCTTGAGGTTTGCGAGCGAGGTTGCGAGTTCACTTGAATTTATATATAAACTTGAAGGTGGCATGCAGCGGTAAGACATTCTTCGTTCCTTTAAATAAAATATCCACTTCGGGGCTGTTAAATAAGAGTTAGGTCGCACTGCAAGTCCTTCCAACGGTGTGTCGCATCTGTTACTTGATTAGGGTTGGAATAATATCGTCCCTTAAGAAAAGGGGCATTTAGGCGGGTCTCTTTGGAACTGATTACTCGGTCAATCTCTGCAGCAGAAGATGGCTATACTTTGGAATAAAACGGGCTAAATAACCACATCCAACCAGGGTTCGCTTGAATCAGGCAGATTTTGCGGCCCAGTGTCTCACTAAAGCAAATATTTTCTGCTCTTCGGGAAAGAGTATAGATAAAGTTGTATGTCCGTTGTAGCGATACGAAGGACATGAAATGTAGATAGTGACCTTCCTACGTATTCTTATGGAAAACTGATTGCCCGATTAAATCGGCTTCCTGTCCACGCATAGAGACGTCAAGGAAAGAAAACTTGCGTTGCTGTTCCCTTCCCACCGTGAATTTGACTTTGGGATGTAGGCTGGTCACAGTAGTGAACTTGCCCTCAGTCGCTCTATCGTTAATAACAGTCGCATTCTTATTGTCGATGTATATTTGGCATAGTGTGTTTGCATTGACTTTTGTTGACAGTTCGCAATGGGTAGCAGTTGAGAAACCGTCACGAATTCCTTTGCTGTCAATACGTCTCTCTGCTTATGTTTGTTTTAGATCGCGAACTGTGTTATTATTAAGAGGGCCGTATGGTAGAAAACCGAAAAGGAAGAGGATGGCAGGTCGGTGCAGGGGGAGACATGTTATATTTACAATTGCCAAGAAATGATGATCGAAAGGTTGTTTTGTTCATCTGCGCAGTTGTCAAGTCAGGGAACAACCTTTTCTTTAATCTTGAGCATGTATATAGGCCAGCGTAGGTGCTTGACTTGGTTCACTAGCAGGCTGTGAACAGCCTAAAGTATCTCATAAATGTGCTCTTTCTGATCACTGTCAAATAACTGGGCCAGAAAAGTCCTTCAGAGGGGCCCGTATATGGCAAAATCAAAACCGAAAGAGGAATAGGCGTCCCATTGAGTGGGCTTCCGACAGTCCGACTAGTCTGCGGGGCTAAGTGAGTTGCAGAGAGATAATGGACAAGAAATAGACGCGATAGCTGGAATATGAGCTGTATTCACCTGCGGTTCTGATTCGTGCACAAACCCATCATCAAATACTGCATCAGATACGGTAATTCGTACACAAGGGGATGCAGTATTTATAGAATGATTCGGCATACTACCGCATACCTATGAAAATTAATGTTTTCCCCTTTATCGAGGACGACTCCCTTGGTGTGACAATGGCCTGGCGACCGGTATTTAAATCGTTAGTCCGCGCAATTTCGGCACCGGTACTGAATGTTGGTGTGATGATTACTTGGCTATCTGGTTCACCGATACGGGCGATGGAAACAGTGCTCGCCTGCGTGGTTCCCGAGTGGTTAATTATTCTACCAAGGCTAAGTCTCTGTACCGAATGTGGAGGGAGGGGGGGGGGAAGTCATTGCACTTTTAAATAGACAGGGGGCCATTGAAGCAGCTCGCGGCTCGCGCGATCGTCACTTCTCGCGAGAATTTCAGCCTCGTCGAATTTGAGCGTGTGGGTTGGGTCCCGTCGAATGAGCCCCTAGTGGGGAGCTGGCGCCGTTTCTCCGCACTGCTGCCGCATGTTCGGACATTTGCGTCCTAAGAAATCTTCCGGTCTCTTTGACGTTGTCGTTTTGCCCGCAATTGCACCAAATTCTGCAAGAGACTCAATCTTTACCTACCATGTCATTTGAACTTCTGAACCGATTACCTGGCGGTTGATGGCTGCCTGCGGTCTCTGTGCAGCTTCAGCTCAATGTCGTGTGAGGAGTTGCCCAACGAGACCTCATTGACGTAAGGAGGCGATTTTCAGAATTTGGGATCAACGTTGCTCTCGTTCGCATATGCTTCTGTCGACAAAGTTGCGTGATTACATAGTTGCTTTGATTTTCCATCTGAAGAGGAAGTATCTTCCGGTTTTTAAAAACACTCGCGATTCTAAAATAACGCATTGTCCTATCTGCCGTTAAATTTGAATTCAGGGTCTCCAAACTAAATGCTGTATACAGTCCGCTAAAAGGATATAACACATTTCTGTACGCTGTCAGGAAGATGTCATAGAGCGTTCACAAAATTTTGCGGTGGATGTAAACCATTTTGTATACTTAGTAAGTAGCATTTAAAAATGTGCTGATGTGGTGTTGTGTGAAAGGACATTTCCTGGTCCTAAAATTCTCAGAACAAGGAACACCTTGAAAACTGAAATATACACGCTCCTTGAGTAAAAAAGATGAAGAAGACGTAATTTGCCACCAAAGGAGTACAAGGCAAAATATGTGTGCACGTTTTCTACAAAATGTAATAGAGTTTATAAGGGCATCGAAAATCAATGGGAACTGCCTATACTAGCTAAGGAGTCACTGTTTAGAGAGTAGAGTTTTTCAGACGGCTCAAAAGAAACTCATTTAAAAGCTGACATCTCGGTGTAACTGAAATATTTGTAGTTATACCGCGCCATAATCAATATTACAATCCTTTTAAGTAGTCTTTTCGAATAGAAAACACATTTTGGATTTTTGGCTAACATTTCATGAGACGGCACATCTACTGTAGCCTCTCATATAAAGACTGTTAACGACTCACCCGTAAAATCGCTTTTACCAACAAGTTCGTGTCAGAAGTGGTCTGATGCTTTTGGGGCTGGACCGCTGTGCTTTCTCTTCTCATATTCAGTTTGGAATTTTCGTAATTTTGATATCATAATATAACGACACTTCGCAATGGTCAGGCGATTTGCTCATCGAATTTCGGATGATGTTATCCGACTTCTTTATCCCGAATTAATTGCCGCGAAGTCTTTCCGTTACATGCGTAGTGGCTTCCGACATATCTCTCGTCGTACGTCGGCATATCAATGTTACATATAATCAGTTCTGGCACGATATCTTACGTGCAAAAGACTTGAATCCAGAAAATTAATTTTGTGTAAACCCACATACTCTTTCTTCATCTCTTTGCTTGTATTCTGACCACGGCAAACAGAGGAGATTTTTTTCTGAAAAATGCATAATGGCGTTTTCAAAATGAAGCGTATTTCTCCCTCTGCTCATATTCTCATCCTATTACTTTAAAATAAGAACACTTGTTTAATTAATCACGGTATTGACAAGTAACAAAGCTCAGGTTTCTTTTTGGAAGCCAACATGCCCGCTGTTTAGTGAGAATCGCCGTAGTCTCTCGTCTTAATCACAAACGAGAAGACAACTACCCATTTATAGTGTATTTTCTCATTGGATTTTTGCTGCCTGGGGGACTTAAATCACATTTTCATCAGGCATCAAGTACCAAATTCGTCTATTCTAACCATTTGTAGGAGGTTAAGACTCCGGGAAAGATAATGTTTGGAAGCATGACTTTTTCTAACAGAGGAGATACGATACCTCGTGCGTAATTTAAAACAGACTCCGCGTTTTTGCTTGTTTGCAAGATTTGTTAATTGCATCCTATGAGCAGCAGGTTAAGTCACACAAATCCGCTAAAATTTTCAGGAGAAATCAGCCCTTCCGTTTTTGTCGGCCTGGCTTTGGCAATGCCTTTGCATTATCCACGTAAACAGTTGCCGTATTCCTCCCCGTCGAGATCTGCCAATGCGAACACAATACCAGGATGGAGTTGGATCAGGTTGTCTACTTCAAAAACAGGATAACTAAGTCTGATGGTGTTGACTTGCACATACTTTCGTGCGTGCATCTCGGTGAACACCCCTCTACCACTTTTACAGGTCGTATTTTTGACGCACTAAAACAAAACGCTTTTTCGTGTCCATACACTCTTGCCAGAGAAATGAGAGTTACCCTCACTTTGAGAGAAGCGATAAGGACGTTGAGCAGGCTACTCACAACTATGATCATGAAGTTAATAATGGCGGGTTCAGACATTACAGGATCCTCAACGGCTTCCTAGACACATCTAAGCATTCTTGCGCTTAGGGAAAAGTCGTTAACTTGACGGAATTTCTTCCCGATGGCTTTAAACAGTAAAATATCAACTTAATGAAGAAAACTGTTCACCTGGGGCTCCTGAGTGAAGTTGACGAAAGTAAAGAAACAAGTTTTGGGTAGTAAATGGGACGCCGCCGCCGCCGCCGCCACCACCACCACCACCACCATCACCACCACCACCACCACCACCACCACCACCGCAGTCGAGCTCACTCCGCATGACCCGCTGCCGCCTCCCACCATGCCATCATCACTGTCGCAATCCCTGCGGCTACGACTACTTCTCGTTGCATTCCCACCAAAGGTGAGAACCCGGCCGTCGTCCAGTCAATCACCACCTTCACCGCCATCGTTCCCGCAATGGCTCCTTGTCATTGCGGCTTCTATGACCCTTCTATTCAGCCATGATCCAAGCCGTTGTCCTCTGGTTTGTGCGAAAACCCGGTCCTTTGTGCGCGGACCAGGCCTGTGCGGTACGCACAGGAGGGCTGCTGGGCTTTGTTAGCCACTGCAGCCAATCCCACCTCCGATCTTCTCGGCTCTATCTTGACCGCGGCACCAAGATGGGTGAGGGAGTGCAGTAGATGCCGCACAAGCCCACTATCATCATAAACGACTTCACGCGCCTCACCGTCTCTGTGCCCACTATGGGGGCGAGGGATGCACGGTTGATATGATTGTTCGTGACAGTCGGACCGTCAGCAAGTTGAGTTTTAGTCTATTTACCTCGTGAAGACTAGGATTTTGTGAAATAGCACCCCAATTCTTATGGGACCGGAAAAGAAATTAATGCTTTTGAAATGTCATAAAGATGGCATGATAGGTGAAACGTAAATAATTTTAACCAAAACAGGTATCCAAAACTCCCCCATATTTTCCGGCACCTCTTTTATAATAATAGAATTTTAATTACGGTTGATGAGTTCCAGAGAGGTAGATAAATATCAGCGTATTGTTTCCGGCCAAACCATTTAAATCAAAGCTCAAACAAACGTCCTTTTACTGCCGACATATGGAACGCTAAATGAAACATCGAGGCAGCCTTTATGAGGCCTTTATTGTGTTCGCCGAAATCGCCATCAACTAATTTGCTAGAAAAAACCCGCTCATCTGAATATTTCGTTAAAAGGTAGTTTGAAAAATGGCATTCACACTGATGGCAATAGAAAAACCGATGACACTTTATCTGGTTACTACGCTATGTGTACAGTCGAACAAGATCGGGCTTGATTGGACTTTTTACGCTAAGCAAACGCTGGAGAGCAAATTTATGTGGCCGGTTTTGACAGTAGACTATGGTTTCTTAAATGTAGGAAATAACTAAAACCCCAAACACTTATTCCACCAAGGCTTCTGCAAATACATGGCAGTTCAGCGAGTCCTTAACAGTTCCCTCATCGATTCTTTTTTTCATCTTCGTTAAGAGCTAACGGTTAATAATTTCGCCAGAAGTGGCTTGGAGTAGAGTCCTTGGAAAAGAACTGGTCGAGATCTGCTGCAGATTCCATGTGGACATCTAAGGTAAGAACTAGGTGGTTTATCCGCTTAAAGTGGTCTGACGACCTTATTTCAAACGCCTTGATTTAGCCCAACCAAAACTCGCACAAGCTTCTTAAAGGTACTTGGTGGACAATCATATTGCAAGTTAACCCCCGACACGCAGATGGCATTGTAGGTTCTGACAGCAAAAGCAAAGAACTCGTGCCTAGGGTTTACGGATAGATCAAACAGAATAAGGAAGTTTGACCCGCGTCAAATTAAGTTGAAGAACATATAGAATTGTCCCCAGATACAGATATCAGCATTGCCTTCCTCTAGCTATATATTTAGGAAAGATGTGATGCACCTGAAAGAACCGTGCCCGCGCCGTCCACGCGTTTATGTATACATTAAATGAAATTAAACTGTAGGCAGTTGGCAAGTCAACAACCCCGACTATGGTTTCAAAGTGACTTTACTTGGGAAAGGGCAATCGCAAGTGAGTCTCTTTGTATGATTCTTTTCGCCAAACGTTAAGTAACTAAATTAAGATGTTTTGCCCAAACGGTGAGAACAAAATGCAAGGTACACGTCAAAGCTCACAGGGCTTTAATCAAGATCGGTAAAAAGCATTAAAATAGGAAAAAGTACAGATAAAAATTGGAATATTGGGCAGTTCGGTTAAGTCATAGCTTTCGCCCGCGGGCTGTCAACCCCGAGTCTATCAGGCCACCTGTCCCGTGGGTCTCACGAAGTACTTCCCGTTTAAACAGAATGTTGAATTTCGGCTGACTTACAGTGCTTATGTAAGGTCACCAAATTTTCCAGACCCAAGATCTGTGACCGTCTGCTATGTAATGATCAGCAAATCGTGGCCGTCGCAGCCAGGTGTGCGCTGACGGTTCTCCGGTGCCTGGTTCTCTGACCGTAGATACACCTGCGCTCCCACTGAGTATACAGGTTGTAAGCATGGCTGACCAGTCATTCGCCTTCTGACTCGTCGTGCTGGTGTTATTGTTGTTGGCTAAAATCTTCGCCAAATATTCGTTGTGGGCTAGGGGGTGTGGAATGGAGCGCTAAGGTGCGGGCTTGGCCGCTCCATCCACTCGCGCCCTCTCCCGTCCCAGTCTGCCTGACTCTGTCTTGACACCGGGCCCAGTTGGGGAGAAGGACAAAGTGAGGTAGAGGCTGCGAAAAGCTACTCTCACAATAGCATAATTCACGTACAAATCACCATGTCTGCTTCGCCTTGGCGTGGAGCACATGGCGGACATCGTCGGATGCGACGCTCGAACTATCAATTTTTCAAAAAGCATCTAATAATGATGCCATTTATCATATCTATCCTGCAAAGAACGAGGCCTTTAATGGGGAAGTGCATACTTGAAAAACATTGCTTATTTCGAACTTTACAGTGCTCCAAATAACACAGTTATAAAGAGCAGTCTGCTGCTTAAGATAGTCGTAAAACTCCCCTATTTTTGCCGCCGTGCTTTCCATTGTCGCATGAAAAATACAGTGAAATCCAATTTCTTTCTCCACATCTTTACAAAACGTCTCGGCTCAACTGAAACCTTTGTCAATAAAAACCGGCATAAAGTGAGAAAAGCCTTTTAGTACAAGAAGAACCTGTTCTTGTACTTACTAATCACATTGACCAAATCACTAAAGGCAACATGGCTGTTTCTGTATGACGGAATAAAAGATGCACAGCACGCGAACGAACAATCAACAAACTGCTGTTTTTTGTTTGAATCATATTCTTGGGCTTTATTTAGCCCAACCAAAACTCGAATAAGCTTCTTATAGGTACTTGGTGGACAAACGTATTGCAAGTTAACCCCCGACACGCAGATGGCATTGTAGGTTCTGACAGCAAAAGCTAAGAGCCCGTGCCTAGGGTTTACGGATAGATCAAACATATTAGGGAAGTTTGACCCGCATCAAAATTAAGTTGAAGAACATATAGAATTGTCCCCAGATACAGATATCAGCATTGCCTTCCTCTAGCTATATATTTAGGAAAGATGTGATGCACCTGAAAGAACCGTGCCCGCGCCGTCCACGCGTTTATGTATACATTAAATGAAATTAAACTGTAGGCAGTTGGCAAGTCAACAACCCCGACTATGGTTTCAAAGTGACTTTACTTGGGAAAGGGCAATCGCAAGTGAGTCTCTTTGTATGATTCTTTTCGCCAAACGTTAAGTAACTAAATTAAGATGTTTTGCCCAAACGGTGAGAACAAAATGCAACGTACACGTCAAAGCTCACTGGGCTTCAACTAAAATCGGTAAAAAACATTAAAATAGAAAAAAGTACAGATAAAAATTGGAATATTGGGCAGTTCGGTTAAGTCATAGCTTTCGCACGCGGGCTCTCAAGCCCGAGTCTCTCAGGCCACCTGTCCCGTGGGCCTCACGAAGTACTTCCCGTTTAAAGAGAATGTTGAATTTCGGCTGACTTACAGTGCTGATGTAAGGTCGGCTAATTTTCCAGACCCAAGGTCTGTGAGCGTCTGCTACGCCATGATTAACAAACCATGGCCGTCGCAGCCTAGTGTGCGTTGGCAGTTCTCCGATGCCTGGGTCTCTGCGCTCCCACTGAGTATACAGGTCGTAAGCATGACTGACCAGTCATTCGCCTTCTGACTCGTCGTGCTGGTGTTATTGTTGTTGGCTAAAATCTTAGCCAAATATACTTTGTGGACTAGGGGGTGTGGAATGGAGCGCTAAGGTGCGGGCTTGGCCGCGCCATCCACTCACGCCATCCCCCGCCCCAGTCTGCCTGACTCTGTCTTGACACCGGGCCCAGTTGGGGAGAAGGGGAGTGCGAGGTAGACGCTGCGCAAGTTCGCTCTCATTATAGAATAATTCACACATATGTCACTGTGCCTGCTTCGCCTTGCTGTGGAGCACTTGACGGACATCTTCGGATGCGACGCTCAAACTGTCAATTTTTCAAAAGACGTCCTCTAATGGTGCTATTTATCATTTCCATCTTGCAAAGAACCAGACTTTTATATGGAAGTGCACATTTGAAAAACATTTTTTATCTCGAAAATTAAAGTGCTCAAAATAACACAGTTTTAAAGAGCGCCTGCTGCTTAACATAGTCCTAAAACTCCCTTATTTCTGACGCCGTGCTATCCAGTGTCGCATGACAAATACAGTGAAATCCCACTTCGCGCTCCACATCTCTGCAAAATGTCTCGGATCAACTGAAGCATTTGTCAATAGAAACCGGCATAAAGTGAGAAAAGCCTTTCAGTACAAGAAGAACTTGTTGTTGTACTTACTAATCACACTGCCCAAACCACTAAAGGCAACTTGGCTGTTTCTGTGTGACGGAATAACGAATTCACTGCATGCGAACGAACAACCAACAAACTATTGTTTTCTGTTTGGATCATTTTTAAAATTCCTTTTCCGTTAGTCAAACACCGTTATATTTAGCCAAAATGCAATTATTTAAAGTACAAATTTCTAAAAATTCCGTTTTTTGGCGAAAAATTACTTCTAGGCCAGTAAGTTCTAATTTGTAAGCCAAACTCTGCCTTCTTTTGAAGAACGGTCATTTCTTTAGCGCGGGATGAACGAATTTTGCTTTGAAGGCATGTTCTTCCGAAATTGGCGGTATTTCATGAATCAGACCACCCACGGCATAGGTACTAAATATAGGGTTAGTGGGGGTATGCGTTGAAAACCGGGTAAGCTTACGGGGTATAAAGTTACTGTTAAAAAGAGAAACATTCATTCGAAATAAATGCATCAGGGGCTGCAAGAGTACCCAGGGAGAGGCACAGGTAAAATTCCTTTGAGAAGTAATCCTTCAGCCGAAGCAAAATGGTATACAAAAATTATTTATAACAATTTGACTCGTTTTTTGAACACAATGAACAAGAAAACATTGTAAGACTTTGCTTGATTCACAAAGGCGTCGACTCCAAATAGGCATGAAAGGAGTATTAACCAAACTTCATTAACTACAAAGCTGCATCTGAGACAACGAAACCCGTTTTCGCTGGGCTTGAGGTGGAAATCGTTGATCTCCCAAAAGTTACTGTGCACAACCGGTGATGTGGATTAGGGATTAGTCAGATATAGGTCAACAAAGTGGAAATAATAGTTAGAATCCATATCGTTTATATCCTTGTATGTATGCCAGACCAAAAGGTTTATGCTAGAGGGGCGTTAACCGATCGTTTCTACGGAACTCCCTCGTTCCGTTGTGCCTTACGGGCTCTCACTCTCGAGCCCAGCCAGCAGCCGCCCAGCGGCGCATGATGTAGGCGGAATAGTATTACCGAAAAAGACAGGGGAGACTGGAATAACCATTTCTGGCCTATTGGCAGTCGTCAGCCAGCCTGGGGTCGAGCCCCAGGTCTTCCACACTTCGCGGTTGGGTATGACTGGCTGACGACGGCTAATACGCCGGAAACGGCCATTCCAATCTCCCTTGTTCTTGTCGGTAAAACCATTCTGCCGAAAGGTTTTCTGACGGATACAGGGGTACAAGATGGCG